TCCAAGTTAGTGAAATGGGAGTAGTTATTATATTAAAAATTTTTAAATATGAAATGGGAGTAGTTATTATATTAAAAATTTTTAAATATATTTGGAACGTTGTAGATTTATCTTTCAATATTAAAATACATGGACAAAGGGTTATTTTTTCTTTTAATTTTTATTCCAATTGATCCAATGTCTGCTTTTGTCTCTCCTTCCTTTGGAAGGCTACCTTGTGTTGGCCGTAGATTCGAGTTTTCTTTCCTGTTTTCATGTATCTTTAGAAGGTTGTTTATATTTTAATATATCTAGTGTTTTCTGCTGTGATTTTGTGTTTTTATTCTGAGCTCTGTGCTATATTCTGAGTTGTAGGACTCTGTTCTCGAGCTTTATGCTCTTCTTTGTAATGATAAATTTTTTTAACTTCAGTACAACCATATTATTTATTGGAATAAATATGAAAGAGAAAAGTCACATATATATATATATATATAATGACAGTTACAAATTATAATGTGTTGCTTTGACAGTTACAAATTATAATGTGTTGCTTTTATAATATATGTTTTGCTTTTAATTTGGTTTTTTTTTTTTGTCAACAATGTTAAATAAATTGATTAGGGTAAGACTTCGTGAATTTTGTTTAATTTGATGTTTTGTTTTTCCTTTCTTACATCTTTTTTATATGTAACATATGAAGCATGCACATTCCATTTGCTAATAGTTTTAATTTTTTTCATTCATTAATTCATTAAAATTAAGCAAGTAATTAGCCAATTATAATTCAATTGCAAGATGTGTAATAATGCCTAATCCATATACGTGCAAAGGGTAAAAATGTAAATTTGTAATAATGTCATTTTCTTTCCTCCTTTTATTTTTACTTTCAATCCAAACATAAGGTGGAAAATAAGGAGGAAAAATGAACAGTACAATCATCTCTTATTTTCTTTCCTTATTTTCATTCCTCTTTTATTTTCTTTCTTCTCTTTTTCAAACATAGTGTGAACATTGCATGAAAAGTTATTATAGAACAAGGCTTTAGCTATTCATACCAATTAATAGTTAATAGTTATTACTGATAGCTGGTAGCTGATGACTGATCGCATTTAGCTGGCGGCTAATAGTGTACAACTGATGAATATTGGTGTTTGGTAAAATTTTGATATCGATTACAGTTAAAATGTAAAATCACGTTTAAAATACAATTATTTTTTCTAATTTTTAAAGTGAATTTTTTATTTCTTATTTTAATTTTAATATATAATATAAATAAAAACAACAGCAGCTAAGCCTCTAAATATAAAGTATACCTTCAAAAATTGTAATATAGAGTAAAGTACTTTTGTATCCCTAAATTACAGTCAAACTATCACTTATAATCTTTTATTATTATTCTAAATTGCAAAGATTTAGAATGGATTAGGGTTATAGTGTAAATGGATCTTGTATAAATAATTCTTGAGGCATTGGAATTGTACCTTCAATAGAGAGTTTAAAACTATTAATATTATTATTTTAATTTTTTTAAATTGAAATGAATTACAATAAAAAAAATATAAGGGGTCAGTTGATCCCTTTGTGTATAAATGTGTGAGTCTAATTAAATATGATTTATTACTTATATATATATTTTTTTAGAGGAAGCTTAATGCAATGGGAATACAAGTTAGGTTTAGACCTAATTAATTTTCAGGGATGGAATATCCTTACACGCTTAAAATAATATACATCATATCTATGGTATCTTTAAGCTAATCTCCTACAAGATCCTCTTTGGTTCAATTCCAAAAATTATTTATATAATTTCATAACACAATCCATCCGACCCTTTAAATGATCCTTAAAGACAAAAAATAAAAAATAAAAATAAAAAAAACATTTTCTCATAAAATATTTCCTCTGCTATGATCTTTTGACTTCCAAATGTCGGTTAACCTACAATTTTGTCTAAAATAAATAAATAAATAAATATTATGAGAAATAAAGCTGAAATGCATTTCAATAGGAGTGTGGATGGATCGGATGGAACCAATGTTTTTAAATCCGATTTGAATATTGATTTGGCTAAACAATCGTATGGATGGATTTATATTGGTTTCATCAGCAAGTTATATATTCTTTTGTTAGTGGCTTATAAAAATAATGATAATATATATTAATTAAATAATTATAATTTATAAAAATTGTAATTTAATAAAAAAAATAAGTATAATTCCAACACGTAAATGCTGCTCTTTTCATAATAAATTCCAATCCAAAACATATAATTTGAATTAACATGAAAGATAAGTATCAAGCAATATATTATCCCTTCACACTAAAATCTACAAAAAAAATATATCCATGGATAAAATTTCGGGAAATTTTCAGATAGAATATGTCAATCATGTTACCATAAACTAAACTAATAATATATTGCCACGTCATGTTCTATTAAAAAATTCTTTCAAAACATTAATTAATTTACATATGAGAAAAACCTGTCACCTAAGATCTCCGACACCTTTCTTCCCCTTATCTACACCTACCATTGACAAAATCTCTCCATAATTCCAAAATTGATTTTGCCAAACAAAAGTTTATATTACATGATGCATTGAAAAATTAAATTAAGATTAAAAAAATGTAAATATAATTATTTTAATTAAAGATTAGATCAAACTAAAATTAAATAATTAAAACTAAATTGAAATAAATAAAGTATATTTTTTATTCATAAAATTAATGAATATATATATTTTTTGGATATAAACATCAATTTAATGAACTTTTTTTGTATCAACCGAAGAAGTGGGTGGTTCTGGAGTAGGGAGAAAACGGACAGCATACAGTGAAGAGTGCCTACAGACTAATGACACGAGTTTCTGATAATTTACAGCGGCCGGAGATGAAGCCGTTTTGGCTCGCATTATGAAAACTGCAGCTTCCACCAAAGATAAAGAATATGGCATGGAGGGTGGGGTCTCTCTGCTTACCTGTTAAGGCCTTGCTCATTTCTCGTGGAGTGGAATTGGACCCTTTATGTCCAGTGTGTGGAGCAGCCTCTGAGTCTTTGCTGCTCCTTTTTGTGGATTGTTGTTTTGCCAAAGAATGCTGGGGCTCGATAGTGTCCCTGTTCTGGATATTTACAATCAATACCCTGCAATTTCCTTTCATGAATGGCTCCTTAAAGTGTTACAGGTTTTACAGGCTGAGGACTTCATAACTTTTTGTATTATTCTTTGGGCCATATGGAGAACCAAGAACGATATTCTCTAGAAAAATGTCAGAGCATCGGTAGCCCAAGTTTTAAACGCTTGCTTCACTTTTTCACACCAGTGGTAACTCTCGCGTGCACAAGCCCCTATTCCTAATCCTTCCCAGGTCTAAGGTGCAGTCCTATGGAGTAAGCCACCCTACGGTCGTCCAAAGTGCAACTGTGATGCCGCGGTACTAAGCAATGCGAGTAGAGTTGGTGTTGGTTGGGTTTTACGGGATGAGCATGGCTCTGTGATTAATGCTTGTCAGTCCTCTCCCGAGGGTAACAGACGTCAAACTAGCAGAGGCTCTCTCTTTCCGACAGGCGCTAACCTGAACAAAAAGCAAGGGCTACTGTTGATTTTGAATCTGATTCCTTATCATTAGTCCAGGCTATTCATAGGAATGAAATTGATCTTACTCCCTTTGGGGACGTCATCTTAGACTGTAAGTTGCTTCTTCAGCAACTGGGATTTAGTTCTCTTGTTTTTATTCGTAGAACTGCAAATAAAGTTGCACACATGTTGGCAACTTATGCTTGCTCTTTGCTTTCTTTACAGGAGTGAGGCCCTGTCCCTCCTGCTTTTGTTGTTGATGTTGTTATTTCCGATCTTGTTTAATGGATAGCATTACTTTAAAAAAAAATCTTGAAATAGATAACTAATTAAAAAATGAATCTTCTATATTAAGAAAAACTGTAAGTGCATATAAATTTTTTTTAAAAAAATAAGTTAAAAATATATTTTATAATATTAATACGTGTAAAAATTAAATTAAGCCAATTTTCACTCGATAACATTAGGTATGGACACCGGTTCAATTTGAATCGAAATCGAACTTGAATTGAACCATACTATAAATAAACAAAAATAAATCGAAAATGTCAGTTTAAAGTTTTAAACTGGAACCGGCGGTTCAAGGCATGTTAAAATTCATCTGAATGTGAAAATGTGAATCTAAATTGGCCGGGAACAAGCAATTTCGGTGCGATTTGAATTAAAATTTTTTTATTTTTTTTTTCAAAATTAGAATCACGTACCCTATTCTATACACCTTTAAAACTCTAATAATCTTTTACTACATGAAACCTTTATTTCAGATTTTATTTTGAAATATATTTTAAGTAAAGGTTAAAAATCTAAAAAACATAAAATGGTAATAAAAAGTGAAATATTTATTCTAAAATGATATTGTTTGATACAAATTGGAGTTTCACTTTTTTTTTTTTTCCTTCTAAATTATTTACTTAGTTCAAAATTACATTGATTGAAATATTTTTCAAAATTTTCTAATAATTTATTTAATTAATAACATTTAGACAAAATGAAATGATAATTTATTTGATTATTTTATACGATTAATTAATTTTATTTATTATATGTAAATATGAATTATATTAATATTTTTTAAATAAATATTAATTTTTTCAAAAGAAAATATAACTTTAGAATTGAATTATTATTTTTTTTAAACAAAATATACATCGCTAGAAACTGTGATGAGAATCATCAGTTTATCAGAATGGCAATGAAAACCTAATTGAATAGAAATCCACGGTTCAATATCCAATTCAAGTCAAAATCTTAAAAATTTTGATTCACGGTTGATTTGCATTAGATGGCATGGATATTAAAAATTTATAAATAATTTATAGTACAAGAAACGCAAAGTCATGACTCATGAGCCAAGCCATTCTTAGCTGCGCTGCTAAGATGGAATAAATTAATAAAATATTGCCCCAAAAGGGTAAGCCAGAGAAACAACTTTCAATCCTCCTCCTAATGCAAAAGCAAATTTTTCGTACGTTTGCTTTTTTTGTCCTTTTCAAAAAAAAATGCATTGTAGAAGGAGAAGCAGGTAAAAAAGCGACTGTCCTCACACGAAACCGAAACCGAAACAAAGACCGAAATCGAAGCAAAAAAAACCACCACCGATAAGTAACTAGCACTAGTCAACAAGTTGAAACTTCCCCTCCAAAAACTTCTTCTTCAGTTCTTCGTCTCTCTTTTTATAAACCCATCATTCTTTTTCCATTCCGCCTCAGCTTTTTCTCTCTCCGAAATTCTCTCTCTGAAATTCTCTCTCTGTAACAAATCTTTTCCTCTCTCTCTTTCTTACTTCTTTCTGTGGTACGGACGATGCCACAAGTGGATCTTGAAACCTTAGTTTCTGCCTGCGCCGGCGTTTCCTGCGACCGCAAAATCGCCTGCGAAACCCTAGCAACCACCACTACCGCCTCCGATAACCATAATCAGCAGCCTCAAGATTCTGAAACCGATCCTCCGGAACTTCCGCCGGATTTTCCGCCCGAGTCATTTTGGCTGTCTAAGGATGCTGAGTACGACTGGTTCGATCGCAACGCCTTCATCGAGCGCAAAGACTCCACCAAAGGAAACAACTCTCACTCTGCTAACTTGAATCCAAATATTATCCCACACTCTGGTATTCAGTCAAATTCTCAACGATTTTCTAATCTGAAATCGAAAGCGTCCATTCTTGGTTTGCCAAAGCCTCAGAAATCTTGCTTTGTTGAAGCCAGACGCTATTGTAAACCGGGAAAAACACGGTTGTTCCCGAAACGGTCCGCTTCGGTTTCTAAATCGGATTCGTCGTTGATTGAGCCGTCTTCGCCTAAAGTTTCTTGTATGGGAAGAGTAAGATCGAAGAAAGATCGGAATCGGAGACTAAGAAACCGACAACGATCTGGACGATCAAGTGAAACAGACAATAAAAGAGAAAAAGTAGAAAGGAAGCAAAGAACCGGATTCTTTTCGACCTTTCGGGCTATTTTTCGGGTTACTAAGCATAATACGAGGAACAGAAAAGATGGATCATTATCCAGACAGGGCTCGACGGCGAAGACGACGATTACGGACATTAGAGACCGGCTACCAGCGGGTGAGAGGGATTCGCAGCCAAGAAAAAGTGTCGACAGTGACGGTTTTGAACCAGCGGCGGGAACTGAACCGGTTGGTTTGGGTGCAATGAAGCGGTTTGCGTCTGGTAGGAAATCGGACTCGTGGGTCGACGTGGCATGATCTGAGTCGTCGACGGACTATTTCGTGTGACGGGGGAATAATGAGTGGGGGCCAGCTAATAGGAGAGGAAAAATTATTTCGTCGCCCTCGTGATTGGGGCAACCGTGGGGCCCGTTAGTGTTTAAATGGTTGTTGGAATGACGTGGCGCGTTGAAATAACGGTTTCCTCTCAAGCGCGGTAACTACAGTTATCCCTCGTTTTAAATTTTTTTTTTTTGGGTGGATTATTTTAGATTTTCAAGTTTTTGCTAATTCCAAAACCAGCAATTAGAGTTTGTAAATATAGAATATGAGTGTAAATTTTTATTCTAATAAAAGAAAAGGAAGTGCTCTCTTTGAGTTGCCAATGAATCCAAATAGCATTAAGCAAGTACTTTTGCTCAACTCTAATTAAAATTTAAGGTTCTTATTCACAGTATGTACAGCAATTCGGATAACTACTAAAATATCTAATAACTTTTAAAACTCGATAAATATGAAGATATATATTTTAAAATGTGAATTGAATTTATGGTAAAAAAAAATTAAATAGGATATAATTATTTAATTTTTTTAAAGTTTAAAGGGTAAATCTTATTTAAAGATTAGTGATGTTATTTTATAATTTGAATTAAGATTTAGTATATTTATTTTGGAAAGATATATTTTTTGGTGCGGTGGGACAGAGCGAAGGGGAAAATTAAGTCCAAATAAAGACAATCGGCATTATTGACTATAATAGGGAGAAGGTAAAAAATTGTGAAAAAATAGGTGGAACCCTTGACTATTTTGTATTCAATAACCCCAATTGTCATCGAAAGCGACTCATGTAATTATCAATAATTCTATTACATTGATTCAACAGTCAGCCAATAATTAAGAAATCCGTTTTCAACTCTTCCTAATTTTTATTTATATATTTTTTAACAGTGGGCGATTATATGAATGGTAAATAAAATAGTGTAGAATTTGGAGAATTTTATATCTATTTTTAAAATAATTTTCTTCATTTATTAGATTAAGATACTGTTCCGTGGAACGTTTGAAGCAGTGTTTAGTGTTTTGATAGGGTTGAAACACTATCTTAATTAATTATAATATTCGGTATTATCTTAATTAATTATAGCGCTCGGTAATACAATATCTATCCTAGCGTTCAATAATACTATCTCCCTTACCGTTTAGAGTTTAAGACAGTATTTTATGATATAATATCTATCATAACGTTTATAGTTTGAGATAGGGTTTGAGATAGTGTATTATAAAACGTTATCTTTATTAATGTTTAGCTTTTTGTAATTTTTGATGACACTTAAATCCATCACTTGTCTTTATCGTATTCTTCTTCGCTTGCATACACTTTTTTTGTTATTTTATATTAAACAACTAATTAAATAGTTATTTATACCAAACACTTTTATTCTAAATTGCTATATAATCGTTAACTACTAACATCTACTCATTTTGTTCCAAAATATAAATCGTTTAAGGTTTTTGCACAAGGATTAAAGAAACAATTAATTCTCATATATTATAATAAGCTCATGGGTAATTTGATCAAATTATCATTTATCTCAAAATCAATAATTACTTGTGAAGTATTTATTGTATTTAGTGAAAACAAAGACAACATTCGAAAAATACGATTTATTACTTATATTTTAGAACAAAATAACAAATCAAAAATGATTTATATTTTAAGACAGAGAAAGTAATATTTAACAGCTAATCACTAGTAAAATAGCTGACAACTATTAAAATAGTTCACAGCTAATAAAACAGCTAAATTTGATCAACGGAGACTAAAATATTATTTAAAACACACCCATGCCTTTAAGACTTCAAATAACTTTATAAAATTAATTTTTTAAAGCTAAAGCTTGAGTCTTGGGTTACCTTTAAGTTTATTTAAAAAAAAAAAAAAGGAATATAATTCTTATATTCTCGCGACAAATGATCATTAAAGTAAAATTAATAAATAACTCTCAAATCTTTGCTCTTGATTTTTATTTTTTGTTTTTTGTTGATATTTTACTTGACATTGAGTATAGGGATTTGAATATTGAGTTCTTGACTGACGAAATTCTGTCAACAAAACAGATTCTATTTGGATTTCTAATTGAAATTTGAACACGGTTGCCGATTTTGACCTAATAGCATTTATATGTAATTCCTTTTTTTTTTTTTTTTTTTTTTTGAACACGGTTGCCGATTTTGACCTAATAGCATTTATATGTTAATTCCTTTTTTTTTTTTTTTTTTTTTGGAATTTCCTTAAATTGCATTTATTAAGGCAACAAGAAAATGCATTTATTGGCTTTGGTTTTTTTTTTTTCGTTTCTTTTTCCACTCTAATTGAATGAGGCTATTCTTTGGAAAATATGAGTATATATATGTAAATGTAAAAAAAAAAAAAAAAAAAGAGTAAAAAAAAAAAAAAAAAAAGAGTATATATATGTAGAAACAGGAGAATAAAGATATTTCTTATAATATTTTTAGTGAAATTTAAATATTTTAAAATAATCTTAATGATGAATAATTAAAAATATGTTAACTTAAAAAATATTTATAATATTTAACTTCAATATTTGATTTTAATTTTAATATATATAGATAATAAAAAATTTTTAATATTAAAATTTATATTTTCAAAAATAAATATATGTAGATAATGAGAAATTTGGAGATATATGAAGCAAAAATTTTCTTATTGAGGATCAAGATATTAAGTTTACTGAATGATAATTTGTTTTAATTAACACTTTGATAGCCTTATCCATAGTCACGGTTGTTTTTATTTTCATGAAACATGCAATTTATCATTATTAAAAGCTTAAAAGGTTGATATTTCAATTGCATAAAATTAGAGGGAGATTGCTCATTGTTCGTACACATAATAACTCGTGCTCGCATTTAACTGATGTGAGAATTTTAAATTATTTAATGAATTTTTTTTTATATTTACTCTTTATATATAATCAATAATTATTATTTTATTCGGATATATAATCTGAACATGCATTTACCAATATCATTTGAATTAAAATTTTAATTTACTTTCAGTGATTTTATTAATAAGCTACTCTTTATAAATATTCAAACTCATATTTATAATTTGGTAGAAAAATATTTGTTTTTGAAAAGAACATGCATGAGATAGAAACAAGACACATAATTTTATCACAAATCAATATTTTTATTGTATTTCTGTTAAAGAAAAAAAGAAAATAACATATTGATTTAGTACAGGATGATTTGTAGGTTCAGGTATAATTTCAAAATTGGGAAGAAGTTGCAAGCACTAAACTTGTTTGTATAGTGACACCTTTCTATCATTGAGGGGCTGGATGGGCCTGCTATTCTGCTTGTAAGCTTCCCCTAGCGGAGCTTTTAGTGCTTCTACCTGCGCTTTGGATACTGTTGCCACCTGCATATTTACGTCACATTATCAAAATAAACTTGCTTTTTTTTTTTTTTTAATTATATATAACCAACACTACAAGAAAAACAGAAATTACCATTAATAGATTTTGTCGCTAATTCCTTATCTAAAAATAAAATTAAAAGTAAGAAATTACCTTGGCAAGGACATTCCAGAGGACATTTTCACTGCATGGAGGAGTGGTAAGAGAACCTGTATATGTGAAATATTCTGAAGCTTTTTCCTTCAAAGGCTCAATATCCAACAGCCCTATTGGTACACCTTTACTACTATTTCCCGCCTGAGCAAGCTTTGTCAAACCATCTTGGATCTGCAAATAATGATCAGTGTTATTTTTTTTTTTTCAAAGAATATTCCAAGTTGGTTGGAAGTTCAAAAATATAAAAAGTATAATGGTATTAAGGCTGAATCAGTCAAATGATTAGTGGCAAAACTATGTTTTGAATAGAAAATCTTCAAAATAAGCACTGTGATTGGAAGTTGGAACCTAATATTTTAAGGTATACGCTTAATTATTTACTTCTTCAATTTAATTCTTATGGCCGTGTTCGGGAACAACGTTTTAAGTAATTAAAATGTTAAATACTATTTTTTATAGTGTTCGGTAATATAGAGTTTAAATTAACTTTTAAAAGTTAATATAGTATTTTATAAAATGTTACTCATGTAATATTTAATTTTTAGTGTTTTATAAAAAACTATTCAAACAGTTAACACCTAAACACTACTAAACTTACTAATAGCTATCAGAACAACTAATTCTACTGAACAAACCCAAAATGTTTGTCCCCCATCTCTGAAATGAGAGTTATTTTGAGAATGATGATAGTTATTTTGTCAAAAGTTGAAATTCAAATTTTATACTGCGATCCATTTTATTTGTATAGCCTCATTTCTTATTAATCATAATATAAATTCAAATAAATATTTAATTTTTCATTTGGAAAAAATAAAACTTATGAAATTGCCTTAATTTTTTATTTGTTTTACCTTTGCTGTAAATGGATCCTCAGGACCATCTTCGTAGAGGATTGCAACAACAGACAGGGCTCCATCCGCTGCTTGGTGGACTAGGTGAAGCTCCAGTGGATAACTGTAGATTAAATAAATAATAACATAAAAACACTTCCATTTCCATGTACCGTCAAGCCCATATAAGTGAATTTACCCAAGCCCATGCGTCCGGCCCATAAAAGTGAAATATATATCCATAAAAGTGAAATATATATATATAATAATATATTGAAAAAAATAATATTTTATCTCTATATTTTGCCGAAATACACTAGCATGTCCCTGCAATTTTTAAAATTCACTAATTTTTCTGAGTGTTTTTATTCTTCTGCCAAATTTTTATATTTTTTTCATTAAAACGTACGAAAATTTGCAAAAGTAGGAACAAGTTAGTTAATTTTGATAAAATAATATATTTTGCAAAAGTAATTTTGTAAGTATTGGAAAAAAATATAAAAAATTGATAAAATGGACAAACTAGTGTAATAAATGCAAAACATAAGGAAAAATTAATGTATTTTTAAAAAATGCCACGACAATTAACTATATTTTGAAAAAAGTATATGGATAAAATACTGATTATGGATTTATTTTAATTACTTAATAGATTTTTAAGAGGGGGAGAAAGTTTTAGACCGAGACCTCTCCCACCGTTTTCGGACAAGACTAGTGATCGTCTGGCTCTAAACCGAAG